ACAAACATTTAGATATAAGTGCAAGGGATATATTCCATAATTACCATGGAACTGGATGTACAGGTTCCATTCTCTTCCCTGGGGTTCCAAAAAGAACCTCTCTCTATCTAGTGTCTATAGTTCTAGGCCTCTCCTCCATTAATTTTCATGGAGTATCTCTGATTAGTTGGCAAATCTATTCCCTTTCATAATTGTCTAACTTCAAATCCCCCGTATTTAGCATACACCAACCCCCTTTAAGGCAAATCTTGGCATACCTTTATGGAATTTAAGCATGACAATTCATGACCTTTTGCTGGGAAATTAAGTATTCATGAATGGCTGGCCACCTTCATTGCATATCTAAATGTGGGATCCTTTGAAGTTAATATTTGTGAAGCCAACAGGTCTGCCCCATTGTTAGAAAAACTAACTCTGGTACTGAACTATCTGAAAGAGAATTCTCAGCAAAGACTTCTGTTATACAGTAAAGAAGGTGTAATTAATAGAATATTCCCTTTGGCAACTATGGTATCTATAGAACAGGAATGTATGGGAAGACATATTGCACACCCACACTGATACAGCTCTAAGTGAAATATAGTCATAATTTAGAATATTATTTACAGTGGTTAATGGAGATTTCACATAAACTCATCATCTAACACTTCCTCACAGTTGAGTATAGATTCTCTTAGCCAAGACATCTTCAATAAGGATAGCTCTTGTGTTTTATCCAATATTGATCCTTCATTTTGGGATACCCAAACCAGGACGTTAATATACAGTATCTATACCTCATTGACTTCACCAACTTTTCTATCTTCTATGTTTCTTCTTCTACTACATTCCACCTTCTCTTGGATGATTTTATTAAGAATTGTCACTTTCTTTTAATTTATGGGATGCTAGCAATGAGATATTGATACTTTGAACAGTTTGTGTGTTTGTACAATCTGGATACCTGTTCCATGCATGAATGTGTACTCATTTTTTGTGTCATATTATCACTGGGACCTTGGATTGGATCTTGGAGACCCTTTCTGCATTATTTCATATCCACTGTATAATTGTTTTAAAACTGACAATAAAATATATTAAGAACTAAGAGCATGTAAGCATGTAAGCATGTTGTGAGCATTTCACAGCAAAAAAGGTAAAGCAGAATACAGAATAAATACTTCACCAAAGGAGTTACAAGGTCCAGTTAAATTATAACTAAAGGTAAAACTTTTTTAAAGATTCGGATAGAGAGGAGAGGGATTAGCACACCAGGTTTTAATTGCAGTCTGTGCCCCCTGTAGGGAGATTCACTCTCTCTTATTGCCCTGTTTACCATTATCATTGAAAGTAAAAGAACCCCCAAATTTTGGTTTGTCCCCAGAAAAGTAGTAGAGGGTAAATTTCCCAATAGACACACTAGTCCTGGTGACCTGGAAGTCACCAGGAAATTTCCTTAATTTGCAGATATTTTCTCTCACTTCTTGTTCTGACTATGTGACAGGAAATGACTGGAAATTTCCCCAATAGGACCCAGGAGGAAAAAAAAAACTTGCATGGGTTATAACCTTGCCTTACTCTATTCAGAATGAAAAAAAAATGTATTGCCCATAGTTCTACTTTAAACGTTATATTGAAACCTGTGTTCAGAATTCATTTGAGGTTTACTGTTGAGGGTCAGTTCAGGATAACGGTGCCTTATTGCAACATTTTCAGATACAAGATGTTACATTTTCTATATTCTTTGTTCAGATCTTCATCTCCTTTTATTTTTTTTATTTTTTTAGGTGTGAAATATCTTGGTATTGAATATGATGCACCCAAATTACCATACTAATTTTACTGTGTTTGGAAGCTGTAATTGAGCCTTGTACCATGTTAACCATTAATTAATGTGGAAAGATTGAAGTTTAAGAGATACAACATATGAACAAGTGTAAGTAAACCCTAACAATGAACCATTTTCTCCCTTTTGGTCTTTAAATCACACCAGTTGAGGCAGTCCAAATAACCCAAATCACTATTGCTTTAACTCTACTCAATTGGATATTATTACACAGTCTGGCTGAAAAAAGACCATCCAGTTCAACCATAAAAAGAAAAAAGTTATAATACTTCACCCACAGTTGATCCAGAGAAATGCAAAAAAACCAGCAAAGCACGATCCAATTTGCTCCTACATGTTGGCTTTTATAATATTAAATAGAGATGAGCGAATCGAACCAGGCGAAGTGGAATTCGATTCGAATTTCAGGAAAAATTCGATTCGCGTCGAATCCGAATATTTGCCTACTTCGGGTGCGCGAATCGGATTTTTCCCGATCAGCCGGCAAAAGTGTCCCTGCAGAGAGCTCCGCTATTTCTGACAGTTCTCTGACAGTTCCTTCACATATACAGCGGTTGAAACATTGTATCTATTTGTTTCCATTTAGGATACAGATGTTTTTATTCGGAAACAGATACAATGTTTCAACCGCTGTAAATGTGAAAGTCAGAGAACTGTCAGAAATAGAGGAACTCTGCAAAGAAGAAGAAGTAGGATGAAAATAAGAAGAATTCCAAGCCGGCAAAAAGTGTATCTGCAGAGCTCCTCTAAGTGTATCTGCAGAATAGAGGAGCTCTGCAGATACACTTTTTGCCGGCTTGGAATTCTTCTTATTTTCATCCTACTTCTTCTTCTTCTTCTTCTTCTTCATCTTCTCATCCTCTTCTTCTGAGGATGAGGATGAAGAAGAAGAAGAAGAAGAAGGAGGATGAAAATAAGAAGAATTCCAAGCCGGCAAAAAGTGTATCTGCAGAGCTCCTCTAAGTGTATCTGCAGAATAGAGGAGCTCTGCAGAAACACTTTTTGCCGGCTTGGAATTCTTCTTATTTTCATCCTACTTCTTCTTCTTCTTCTTCTTCTTCTCTTCATCCTCATCCTCAGAAGAAGAAGAAGAGGATGAGGATGAGGATGAAGAAGAAGAAGAAGTAGGATGAAAATAAGAAGAATTCCAAGCCGGCAAAAAGTGTATCTGCAGAGCTCCACTAAGTGTATCTGCAAAGCTCCGCTATTTCTGACAGTTCTGTGACATTCCCTCCATACAGCGGTTGAAACATTGTATCTATTTGTTTCCTTCTCCTTCTTCTCATCCTTCTCCTTCTCCTTCTTCTCATCCTTCTCCTTCTCCTTCTTCTCATCCTTCTTCTCATCCTTCTCCTTCATCCTTCTCCTTCTCCTTCTTCTCATCCTTCTCCTTCTTCTCATCCTTCTCCTTCTTCTCATCCTTCTCCTTCTCCTTCTTCTCATCCTTCTCCTTCTTCTCATCCTTCTCCTTCTCCTTCTTCTCATCCTTCTCCTTCTTCTCATCCTTCTCCTTCTTCTCATCCTTCTCCTTCTTCTCATCCTTCTCCTTCTCCTTCTTCTCATCCTTCTCCATCTTCTCATCCTTCTCCTTCTCCTTCTTCTCATCCTTCTCTCCTTCTCCTTCTTCTCATCCTTCTCCTTCTTCTCATCCTTCTTCTCATCCTTCTCCTTCTTCTCATCCTTCTTCTCATCCTTCTCCTTCTTCTCATCCTTCTTCTTCTTCTCATCCTTCTTCTTCTCATCCTTCTCCTTCTTCTCATCCTTCTCCTTCTTCTCATCCTTCTTCTCATCCTTCTCCTTCTCCTTCTTTTCATCCTTCTCTTTCTCCTTCTTCTCATCCTTCTCCTTCTTCTCATCCTTCTCCTTCTCCTTCTTCTCATCCTTCTCCTTCTCCTTCTTCTCATCCTTCTCCTTCTCCTTCTTCTCATCCTTCTCCATCTTCTCATCCTTCTCCTTCTCCTTCTTCTCATCCTTCTCCTTCTTCTCATCCTTCTCCTTCTTCTCATCCTTCTCCTTCTCCTTCTTCTCATCCTTCTCCTTCTCCTTCTCCTTCTTCTCATCCTTCTCCTTCTCCTTCTCCTTCTTCTCATCCTTCTCCTTCTCCTTCCTCATCTCCAAGGGCATTTAAATTAAAGGTACAGTGTTCTGCACTAATTTAAAGGCTCTCTGAAGCCTAGAAACCCTTTTAATAAGTTAAATTCGTAGCGAATTAATTCGCATCGAATCGAATTTCTTCCTCAAATTTGGCGAATCAGCCGAATCAAATTTTTGAATAATTCGCTCATTTCTAATATTAAACTTATGTTGTGAAATAGACGGCATTAAAAAGTTTGAATTTTTCTTGCAGGATGATGACCATTTGTTGACTCTTATTTGAAGACATGTGTGAAGACAATCAAACTGAAGTTACTGAGTTTTTGCTTCTTGGTTTTCAAAATCTCCATACAATTAAAATTCTTCTCTTCATTGTGTTTCTCCTATGCTATATAATGATATTAAAGGGAAACCTCCTCATTATTGTTTTAATTTCGATTAATGAGAGTCTTAAAATCCCAATGTTCTACTTCCTCAAACACTTGGCAATAGCTGACCTCATGATAACCACCAGCATAGTCCCAATGATGTTAGCAATTATACTGAAAGATGGAATCACAATATCTGTTACTGCCTGCATCATCCAGATGCATTGCTGTTCTCTTTGTGGACTTGTGCAATGTTTGCTTATTGCAATTATGTCCTATGATCGATATTTGGCCATATGTAACCCATTGCGTTATCATTCAATTATGGAGCTCCATATCTGTCTTCAGATGGTTGTCTGGTCTTGGTTGATAGTTGCCTTTGCATCCAGTGAATTAGTTTTGGTGTATCAGTTACATTTTTGTGGTGGGAATAACATTGACCATTTCTTCTGTGATTCTAGTCCAGTGCTAGAGCTGTCTACTTCAGACACTTCTCTGCTTGTATTAGTCGATCTTTTTCTGTACATTTTAGTTATTTTTCTTCCTTTTGCCTTTATTATTGTGACCTATGTCTTCATTTCCTTCACTATATTACACCTTTCTTCAGCCAATGGAAGACGGAAAGCATTTTCCACATGTAGCTCACACCTGGCCACTGTGTGCACATATTATGGGAGCTTGATGGTCGTTTACTTGACACCGTCTGATAAAAGATCAATTACTACAAACAAATTTATGTCTGTTTTCTACATTGTGGCAACTCCCCTGGTGAATCCCATTATCTACAGTTTGAGGAACCACGAGATCAGAAAAAGCCTTGAAAAAAGTTTAAGAAATGTTAAAACAATTGATTTACACTGAAACTATATATTCATTTTCCATATCTATATATTTTATAGTCCTTGTTTCTACAACTTGAAATAGTTAACAAGTTTTATGTAAATTGCTTGTGTCTAGCTTTAGAATCTATGACTTGATTTTTCAACAATCATTATTTGTTGTAGGCATCCAAAAAAGGTTAAAGCTGAACTCTGTATGCTTGCAAGTTGGATCCCAAAGCAGCAGTAGATTTGGATTGATTTCTAGAGCTTGTTAAGAAATTGTTAAGCCGTGAACCTCTTAGCTACTATTTTTTATTTAATGGGGTCTTTTCCTTTTTTAATATCTCTTAATTGTTTTCTAGCTTGGGGTTTTTAGAGTACAGGAATCACTTGTTGCTGACTGTCCATCCATTAATTGCCTCCTCTTCTAAGGAATTAGAACTGAATACTTTAGGTTTGGGTTGGTATAATGTGGCACCACAGTTCAGCAGCAGCTACAACATGCCTAGATGCAGAGACACAGGGCACGGGCATGTGTCTGCCCCAAAATACTGCCAAAACCCTTAAAGGTAGGGGGATAAAAATTGGCACCACAGTTTACAGGCAGCACCAACAGTCCTTAAAGCAGAGAAATAGAAGCCACAGGTTAGTGTCTAAAAAAATAGAAAATAAAAGCTGCACCATGTTTGAGCTACAACCCCCAGGTAAAGGTGGGCAAAATTAGACCAGTACTACCCATTTGGTATTTACTTACTTATAAATGAGAGTTTTACTTTTTTTATTTGTGTGGGATTTTTTTTCGGTTCAGCAAAAGCAGGTGGTGCTAGAAGACTGACATGTAAGCACTAAGAGAAACCATTCATTCTTATAGAAGAAAAAACAACTCGCCGAGGTGCAGTATGCAGACGAAGGATCCCCCTCATCAGAAAATATCATGGCTGGGCATTTTAAAAAGGACATTCTTGAAGTGCTGTGTTGGAGGGAGGAGGAGTATTCTAGAAAGCGGATCTGAAGTGTGAAGGTTGAAGAAATCAGTTCTTTTCAGAAGGATCAATTTTTGGTAGAGGACAGTAACAGTATATACAAGTGATATATGACTTAGGCCCCATGTACACAGGACACTTCTGAACGATGGAAACTGACTGCTGGAAAACGTAGGTTAAAACATGTCTGTTTAGCCGTGTTTGCATAACACGTTTATGAACGTTTAGAAGCTTTTGCGTTTTTTAAAGATAAGCACAGGAGAAGCTCCCAAATGCCCAGAATGCACTGAAAAGTGGTAAATTATTAACTATTTCAGACTGTTTCAGAGAAATACAGAGAGTAGAAGCAGAGAAAGCAGTATGTGTTGAGATTAGCTTAGATGGGAGTTGCTCACTAACATTTCTTTTGTTTCCAAGGGTAGGAAAGGTGTCTGGAGGAGGGAGTCATTAAGGCCACCTTGCAGGGGGTCTTCATGTGGAATTTGAGGTGTGAATGGTCATTAATATATCTTTTGTTTCCAAGGGTGGGAGAGGTCTGAGGTGTGAATTGGTGATTACAGTGTGTAACAAGCTTGGTAGGAACATCCTGTTTTCAGTGTTTTGTCCATCCGAGTACCTTGAAAATGCTTTGCATGCATTTTTCATGATGAAAAAGGCTCTGGGAACTGGAAGAGTTAAAACAAATGTCCAGACGCAAACGCTTATAAACGCGATTTGCCATATTTTGCATTTGAAATGCTGATAGAATCGACTACTGAATGCAAGTTTTCTGAGTAAAAAAAAAAAAAACAACTGTAAACACAATGCCTGTAAACGACTGTAAACTACGATGTGTATATGGACACATAGGAAACATTAGGGGGAGTTCAGGGGCTGCTGAAAAAAAATGCTGAACAGTTCCTGAACGTGAGTTTATCAGCTGCAGTGTACATGAGCCCTTAAATGTGAGCACCATTTACTGGATATTGAGCACACTTTTAGAGTATCTACATACTGCACCATACAGTTTTTTTTTTCTCTGAGGGTTACTAACCTGCCATTTGGAGTCTAATGGAATTTTCAAAGAATGGTGGACTTTTTAATTGGAATGTATGTTGAACAGATTAAGAGACACGTGAGTATTCAAGCTCTGGTCTGATAAATTTGTATTTGCCTAGTATAGACAATGTTGATCTTCAGTGGCAGGGATAGATACAGTAACTACTTGCTACAGCACAATCAGTGTGGAGCTACCAAGTCTACATCAGGTACCAGAGATAAAAAATGATGCTTCAAAAGCAGATTAATAGCACTGACTGCAGTACATAAGGTGCTTAGTAATTGTACAATAGCACCAGGATTAGGCCGGTATTACTGAAGGATGACCTCTGCTGGAAAGGTGGTGGTTAGTGGTATTCTGAAATGGAACTCTGCACTGCTGGGAAGAGCCTCGCTTCACTGGTTTGGTTACTGGAATGTGTCCTAAAGGCAGGCGTTGTCCCTGCACTAATTCTACTTGTCAGGAATCTCCCTATCAATCTGGATCTCTTTCTCTGAACTATGATCAGGCACACCTGAAGATGTAGAGGCTGCAGTATATAAAGTTCCACACCAAGATGGCTGCCAAAGCTCACCAGAAGTTGTAGTATCCATTTTAACAAGTAATTGTCCACTGGTAGCTCTAGCAGGGTGACATTCTTCACCATTGTTTATAGTTTCCACTAGAGGAACATCTTCAGGAGTTGGATCAGATTCCTCAGACATCATAGGGTTGCCATTGGCAGACAAGACAACCTCACCTTCAGAAATATCCACAGGCTGTACAGCTGGATCATTTGCACATTCTGAGTTCAAAGGTTGAGTTTCAATTGGAGGTAGTTACCACTTCACAATGGCCTCTAGAATTGGAGGTACCCCTACCTCCCATATCTGCAGCAGGCACAGAAACACAAGCCCCCTCCCCAAAAACACAAGGCCTTAGCAAGTTTCAGTGTAACTGTCTCCGGGCATTTCCTTGACTCTTGGCTACGAGATCATACGTTAGGAACAAAGGACGTCCAATCGACTGCACTCCAAACAATCCACTTTATTGAACCAAGATAAAACCAATACAGACTGTGGAAATATAGTAGTGGGGACTGGCAGGAAAATGCATTTCTTGCTAAAGACAGCACTTATTCATTATCATTGGGTAATGAATAAGTGCTGTCTTTAGCATGAAACTCTTTTACCTGCCAGTCCCTCCACTGTATTTCCACTGTCTGTATTGGTTTTATCCTGGATCAATAAAGTGGATTGTTTGGAGTGCAGCCGACTGGATGTCCTTTGTCCTCATCTATGCAGCACACCAGCTGGGCTAGCACCTACAGGAGTAGTTGTGCTTGGATATTGGGAGTCTCTCTACCTTGAGCAGCGGTAATACATATATCATACACTAGGAAGTTTGGAAAAGTTTGAGTTTTCAGATGGTACTGGAAAGATTTCCATTTAACTTCCAGTATGGGTTAATATTTCATACTTTAGGTTCTTAAAGAGTGCTGTCTCCAGGTCTCAAAAGTAACAAGTCCACTGAAGCCTCATCCGCTAATCCTAATGATACTCTGAGAGTACTTGTATGGCTTTCGTAAGTGGTACTACAGCTCTTGAACCAAATCATTTAGCTTTTGTGTCTAAAGAAGTAAGTTCATAGGTACTTCTCTGATATGCCCAAACATTAGGAAGAAAAGGGTGTAACCGGTAGCTTTGTGCACTGTATGGCTGTGAGCCCAAACCACTTCTCTCCACGTACTGTGGCCAATGATCCTGAGGCTCCTATTCCAGTATCCAAAGCATCTATTATTTGAAAAGCATACAGGCCCCATTTCCCTGAGGTTGATGTGGGGTGGTATGTGACTTGTGAAATCCACTAAGTAGACTAGTTCTGAAAGACTTAAAAATTAGGACCTTGATCAGACAGGATTCATTTTGTACATCCATATGTTTGCACAACATGGGTCAGAAAAATTTGGCCATGGTAACATCTATTTAATCACGAGTGGGAACCACTATAGGGAACTTGGAAAAGTTTTCCACAAACAGTAGGGCATAACGGTACTCAGATGTGGTCTCAGCTAACGTCAAAAAGTCCATAGTTAAAAGTTCAAATGGCTCAGCCATTTAAATCTCTTGAGAGGTGGTTTGCTCAGTGAGTGCCTTGTTAGGGCCCTGCTCCTTGGAGCTTACAATCTAGGAGGGAGGGGATAGTGGTACAGGAGGAAATAGCTGTGGGGGATGGAGTGGTAGGAAGAGTGGAGGAGATCGGCAATTAGTTGAGGGCGGGGTACGCTTCCCTGAAGAGATAGGTTTTCAGGGAGCACCTAAAGGAGAGGAAAGTAGGTGATAGTCTGATGGATTGGGGTAGGGAGTTCCAGAGGATGGGGGAAGCCCTGGAGAAGTCCTGGAGATGGGCATGGGAGGAGGAGACCAGGGAACTAGAGAGTAGGAGGTCTTGTGAGGAGCGGAGAGTACGTTTTGGGTGGTATAAGGATATCAGGTCGGTGATGTAGTTTGGGGCAGTGTTATGAACAGCTTTGTACGTCAATGTTAGTCATTTGAATTTTATGCGTTGGGCAATCGGGAGCCAGTGGAGTGATTGGCAGAGAGGGGTGGTGGATACAGAGTGGTTAGTAAGGTGGATGAGTCTGGCCGCAGTATTCATGATAGACTGAAGTGGGGACAGTCTGTGGTGAGGTAAGCCAGTGAGGAGGGAGTTACAGTAGTCAAGTCGTGATATGATAAGGGAGTGAATTAGCATTTTCCGGGGTTAGGAAAGGACGTATTTTGGAGATGTTGTGGAGGTGGAGTCTACATGAGTTTGTCAGTGATTAGACCTGGGGCTGGAAAGACAGATTGGAGTCTAGGATGACACCTAGTACTATCGCATGCGGGGTGGGGCTGATGGTGGCATTGTTGGTCGTGATGGAGAAGTCAAGGGGGAGGGCGCGGGCTGTGTGGAAAACTAGGAGCTCGGTTTTGGAAAGGTTTAATTTGAAAAAGTGGAGTGACATCCAGTCTGATATGTCGTTCATTAGGCTAGTGA